AAGGAAGTGGCGATTGCGACAATCTAGCGACCGCCTCCATTGTTGAAGTAGAGTAAACAGTGCCGACCTGAATATGCTCCCAGTTGTGAACAAGGTTTGGCAATCGGATGCCTTGACGGCGTTGATTCGCCATTGTTAGCAATTGAGAATCTACCCTTGACCCGATTTTGCGGAGAGATTCAATAATAATGTCGGGTTCCAGCATCTGTACATGTGTTATCCTCTCTGGAACAAGCCATACGTTATAACAGGCGGATATAAATTGATCCACAACAATCGAGCCCTGAGTTAGCTTCCCTTGCATATCAACCCATATCTCCCGACCAGCCCACCCTTCTTGGTGCTGAGGCCGCAAGGCTTTGGTCAGTATACTGCAGCTCTAAGTCCAAACACTTACTTACCATGAGCTTCTCAAAAGAGACTACTTTCCAGAGTGGGTCTGTGTGATCACACTCCCAAGGCACCAATTCTGGGCAAACCAGTCAGCATAGACCAACAAAAGAGAAAAAGAACCTTACCACCGTGGTATATCAACATCGGGACCTGCGATCGATTAATCGCAAAAAGCTGCAACGTGTTCGGCGATCTAAGAAGCTGATCAGCCCCCCACTATATCCTTTACGAACACTTACTGCATACCTTGCTAGGGAAAATTCGCGAAAATCCTTCTCCCAGAAAAGATGTGCGTTTTCGCCTTTGTATGAGATTGCAGTGAACCTGACTTCGCTGCCCACAAACTGCACGGTGTATACAGTTCGTCGAGCTTTATGCCGAGCGATAATCCCCTCACTCGTACAGTCCCAGTCATATTTGCCAAGGTCTTCGGACTGTATCTCTTTTATCATAATAACATCGCCAAGAATCACTTCACGAAACTGTATATACATGTATTCAGCCTCCAGTCTCGAGTGAGTTAATATTCCGCATCACTCACCTGATTGTACATAGTACGTCTCCCCACAGTGCCCTCGGTACTATGTCCAATGATAACATTGCCATGGATTATTCCGTGGTTGTTGACCTGATGTCCGCTGACGGTGTTGCTAATTGTACCAGCGACGAAATTTTGGCACTCCTGGAGCATGTCTCGGTATAAGTTGAGTTTGCGCGTAGGGGAAGTAGTGATGGGGGTAACAGTGAATAGAAGCGGAATAGAGTTAACAGGCATGGAATAAAATATATCCTATGAAACCCGCAGCACCTAACAACAATCAATACCAGATTGGGGCAACTTGATTCAACAATCACTCTGGTTGTACAGGAATGCTGTCGGTGTTGATTGCATGCAATACATACTGATTCAGCGTGATACCTCAAAGAAGGAATGTGAGATTCGGGGTTAACGCGGTACATGAAGGCATTGAGGGGCTAAATAGCACATAGTTAAACGCATGCTCTTTGGTCCTCTAGTGAGTCATCGAGAGAGAGACACAACTTATCCTATTGGCCCAAAGCAGTTCAATCGCCGCAATTGGACCAATTGAGTGAGAGTGAATAGGGTTGATTCTGATGCCATATGCCAACTGTTATCTACTTTAGTATCTCGGTGAGCCACAAGCGTTTAAAGTGCACCGGAAAGATGTAGGTACTAAACGGTAGTAGGGAATTGAATTCGTCACGATGCTCTAGGTCATCGTTGGAAGTTCCTGTCCCGGAGTGAGAATCACCTCTTCGCTTTCAGATGATCATCATCACTCAATAACGTTGCTATAAGCTTCAGCTAACCTTTGTGTGCGTACAGGATCGATCGCGTCCACAAATCTACTGTGTCTGGTAGAAATCAATCGGTCAATGCCATTTTGATCCGTTGATTCCCTCGACACTTCTCGGCACAAGTTCTTACTAGTCAGTAAGGGTGTATATCGTGCTTATCAACGCTCTGGCAAAGGTGTACAGTTATGCGTACTAAGCCGAGAAATGAGAGTGTTTGGAGCTGGGTTTGAGTGGTACAAGATGGCGGCAATCAAATGGCATGACCTGTATTGAACAGGAGTTCCATGAAGGGAACAAGAATAGAAAACGACGTTATGCTTCAAAGTTCAGGCCTTGCTGCAGAGTTCATCCTAGACTCCTCGCCAGAGCGAATATTCATTAGAAAGCAACTGCATTGAACTTCCCTCAGCCGACCCTGCTGTAAGTGCAGGATCGAGTGCCACTGAACATGTGTTTGTCACACGCCAGCATTGAAGCGGCTTCCCAGCGCCTATTTTATGATGTAGACAAGAATAGAAGAGTAGGTTGTCGGGCTCGGAGACCATCCTGATGTAGCGTCGATTGGATACCTTTGGTGTAGAGATTGTCGATACATTGTAGATGTGTGTGCGATCGTAGGTAAGATAGCCTTTTAACATTGTTTTCGTGGTATTCTGATCTAAAGAGAAGCAAGAAGAAGGGAAGGCGTGGAACCAAGTTAATCCAAGTGGAAGGAAGGCGGTGCGGTAGCCGTTCGAGAGCAATGACGGCTGATATATAGAATACAACGCGTGCAGCTCATTGGCTGGGATCAAGTTCAGGGTGTTCCGCAGTATTTGAGCGATAGGAATAAGGAGGAATCGAGGTCAAGTGGCTGTAGCGTTTATAAGCGCTAATGTGCAATTGTTATCCGTGAACGAAAAGAAAGAGATGCAACGCAGAGTTTCAGGTACATACCGATTCTCGGGGAAGTTGCGGATAAAAGCCTGAGAGTGATAGAAGAATCCAGAAGGCACGGAGGTAGAGCTTGACTGTTCGAGTTTTTACGCTTCGCGCCTAACAATTCGAAAGATGAGTATTCGTTTTTCTTTTCGCGTGTAACAGCTGCAGGAATGTTACATTCAGTTTGTACGCAGTATTATGAAGCATAAAATCTATTGAGAGTGACCTTGTATTCCATTCCCGCTACCGCATTAATGCGGTAGCGGTAACCGGGGTCGTTGCCTTAAAGTAAGCATACATGGCCTATCTCGACCCGCCGGGGGTTCAATTTCTCTTAATGCAATAGAGTGACCAAGTGGTGTGGGTTTTTAACCAGCCACTAAAAAGGCAAGGGATCATCAGGTGGCTGAAAGTTGATGATGGTCTTTGCTAACCGTCACCACATCCAAAGACAAGAGGTGGATGCTGCTCATGAGTCACGGAACACGTTCACATAGCCGGGTCGAGTGGCTTGGGTAAGAGACGGTGGCGGGTAACGGGGGAACCTTGAACCTTAAAAACACGCGCATTCAAACCACACACGACGCCAGCAGGATTCGAACCTGCGCCCTCAAAGAGGAACAGATAACAGCCTCAAAGTTCGTTGAACTAACCACTTGGCTGTAGCGCCTATGCCACGAGATGTTTCCGTTATGGTCATCATGGGGTTCATTGGGCCAGCGCGTTGGAAAGAAGCGAACACGAAGAAGAGAAGTAGCGGAGAACGTGTTGAAGACTGTCCAGAGGGACGGCAGGCACTCAGAAACAGTGACGTCAGTGGTTTACACGTGGAAGAGTACGCGTAAGCGTTGTCGTTTCTTTTTCGTTGACCACCATCTTCGTCGTTGACCAGCACAAGTTCCTCAAGCCGACATTGTACGTTTCAAAGCTAATTCGATCTCTGGTCGACTGACAGATTTCACAGAGGCGTTTTCACTGACGAACATTCCTCCGTTGGCCATTTTGATGATGCTGACAGTGTGTGTTAGAGGGGAGAAGGTTCTTGTTCGTTTAACTAATCAACTTGTCTCTCAGATACCTATTGTAAAATCGAACGTTTCCGAAATCGACACACTACCCATACAAATCAGCGACCTCCACCTGTGACATGAATGCGGCTCGTCCTGCGCAGGTACCTTGGCTCTTCGATGCTGTACGCATGTATTCTTTATCTATCGTATAATCCAAACCCCTAAAGCCCCCTTCTCATATCAAAATAGCTCGTTCCTTCCCAAAGACACCAACCGTTACTGTTTTCCTCACGAGGCGCACAGCTACGCATGGAATTCCCTTTCCTCCCCACGCAGATGACGGTCCCTTCGATCGACAAATCACCAATCATGGTCTACTGCCCTACTCGCTACTCAAACCCTGCGTCCAAGGTTCAACCCAACTAGGAAGCTCTCTTTCCTGAGAACACGTCGTTTTCCTCTATCTCCTCTATCTCCTCTATCCGTTTTGCGCATCGAGATGGCTAGACACTGTCCTATACGATGGCTGCCTTCAATACGTCCGCCGCCGCTTTCTGGAGAGTTCGTTTCAACGGTTGCAAACCGTTAGGCTCTCAGGTACGCTTGCTGTCTTTTCTTCTCACCCTTCCCTGTCTTACCCTTCCCATAGGATTCAGTTCCTCCGAGTTTGAAGGCAGGGTATGTCATCGTTCACATTGAAGCAATATTTCATACTTATCCTCTCCGTAGTCATTAATACCCGTCCAGATATCCGCCCTCTCATGCCTGTTCATCATTTGTCAGTGCAGACTGACCGTCAAAGTAGTGATCTTTGGAAGGGGCATGGACGCATACTAAGAGGATAGGAAGATCGAACGGTACGTCATGCGACTACTCCTCTTTACGCTTCATCTCACCTCTCCCCAGCTGTCCATTCTGAACCTACATCGATCCCTTCTACATACTACAGGGTCCACCGTTACGCCAACTTGAAGAAGAGGAGGATACACAACCCTCGGCTACCCCAAGCCCTGTGTCCCTGCCATAGAACAGCCGTATTCGCCCAACCCAACGAACCTACCACTCGTCGAGGGTACACCTTCCTTGGTTCTATCTCATCCTAGGTTACAGAAGCTACCCATTAAGAGACGAAGAAGACGAGATTCACGCAAAGAGGAAGGGGAGGATACACCACCTCGTTACTCACACCAACCTCGCGAGATGGGATGAGAGTCTCGTCCTAGTCTACATATTCATGTCCTTATCATAACACTGTTATCATCTGCATTCTATAAATAATATATCTCAGTTCCATATACTGACCGAACGTGCGATAGAAAAAAAAAACGAGAAAAGTTCTATTCAGCCAATTTCTCATGCATTAAGAGGGAATCGAACCCCCGGCGGGTCGATAGTAGATAACGCTCATACTATCACGATATGGCAACGACCCAGGTTACCACTACCCCATTAATGCGCTTGATACTAGACCTACATCGTACCGCTTGTGAAAGCTTTGAGCTGCTTGATTCATTTGTATAGCGTGAAAGAGACGGAGCTATCATATCTCTCATTGCGTGGGTATGATCGATGTAGACCTTTGAAAGGGAATCAGGTAGGTTCTTCTGACCTCTCCTTGTGACTCATTGTTGCCCGTCATATCGCAAAGAAGAGGAGATTTACGAGAAGATACTTTCATCCAGTGGCTATTGAGTGCCGTATTCGGTACGTCCTCCCAGTAAAATCACATTCATTACTCATCGTGGGCTACAGGAGCTGCACTCATCAAATTCACAAAGAAGAGACCCCAGAGATGACGAGTATTCGTGTAGGTATTCACACTTTTTGACCAAAAAAGAGATTTTTGGTCAATTGGGATGCATCAAAAGGGAGTTGAACCCCCGAGTCGATTCCAGGTATGGCAACGACTCAGGTTACTACTAAACCATTGATGCAGTGGTCGTGTTTGCCCGACGTCCGCTTGTGTGATACTGGAGCTGTAGGTTGACAGTTGGGCTCAGAGCGTGAACTACTTGATTCATTTTGACAGCGCGACAAAGAGAAACCACATCCTTTGTTGCCTGAGTACGATAAATCAACCTTTCGAAGGGGAATCAATGAATCAGGCATATGTAGAGGCGTTAAACATCGTCAACAATGGCGTCGCATTGGAAAAAATAGCTGTTGTTACTGGTAATGGCATTACGGTGAACCGAACCCCCGCCATACGGCGAGTGTAGGGAGTGTCTTCCACTGAACCATTAATGCTATGCTCTGAACCCACTTTCACGTTAACGGATGCCACATAGAGTTGAAGTCAGAGTGAGGTTTCGATATTCATGAAAAGATTCATGGCCTGAGGTTTGCTTGATTGAGTGAAAGTATTTTTAGTGTACACGCACTCGTACGGTTAATAAGCCCAAGTAGGGTAGTTGAACAACAATGGTAAGCCAATTACTATCCCATATGTAGATCAGTAACAAAAGTGTAGATGTTTCGTGGCGCTGAGATGCTCAAATTCTACTCGAAATCAATAAGGAGGTAGTATACTAGCGGATATATCGTAAGGAAATGGTTAAGACGATAGGGCAGAGAGAAATTATGCATAGCAAACATGACAGCGCTAAATATCGGGAGAACGGGATGAAAGGAAAGTCCATGAGACGCACATATGTACAAGGTAACAACCGGAATAGTTCGAGCTTTGCAAAGAGTACATAGGAACAAAATCGTAACGGGGCTGGTAACAAAGCTAATCCTTCCAAGACCCAGGCATGTTCGGCGTATTATCGGCGACCTCTTCGAACTGATCCGGTCTCCTTGCGCCAATGACTTCCATCGCGGGGTATCCCATGCTCCGTGCCCAGTCTGAGGTTTTAGGGTCGAATCCACGTGCGACTTGCCATTCTTTGAGGGCTGCGTAGTTGTCCTTTTTCCATGTTTGGAATTCAGGGCAGTAGGTTGCCCAGACCTTTGGAAGATCCCACCGATAACACTCGTCTTCCGAGACTTTGGACTCTCCAATTTCGTCAAAAGACCAGAAATATGGATTTCCCATCCACGTCCGGGATTCCATGACTGATAAGGGTGGCGGTTCAATGAACAAGTATACGTGCGGTGGTTTACAAGCCTCCTCGGGTGCCTGATCATCCTGAATTGGTATGCTACGGTCCCTATATCCGATTTCGGACCGGGAATAGATCGAAATAGAACCATGCGCACAAAACGTAACTGCTCTTACCCTATGAGCCTGTCAACAACGGGCATATAATAAGAGGAATACGTACAATATCTCTCTGTCTCTATATCTGTAACATTGATTTCGTTGAAAATTTTAGAGGATTGTGACAACCATGTGTCTTGGAGGGATGCTCCGAACGAGTAACGGAGAACATTCCAGTCAGGTTCCATTCTGTTATTGCGGAGATCAAACTCGAAGCTGCAAATGGATGAGCCAGGTCAGGAAACCCCAATGCAACGTACCGAAGACGTCCGCCATCAGTTTTGACCACTGTGCGCTCTGGTTTGGATTTCTTTATGTCCATCGTATCGAAGAAAGGAAGTGGTAATTGTGACAATCTAGCGACCGCCTCCATTGTTAAAATAGAGTAAACAGTGCCGACCTGAATATGCTCCCAGTTGTGAACAAGGTTTGGCAATCGGATGCCTTGACGCCGTTGATTCGCCATTGTTAGCAATTGAGAATCTACCCTTGACCCGAGTTTGCGGAGAAATTCAATAATAATGTCGGGTTCTAGCATCTGTACATGTGTTATCCTCTCCGGAACACGCCATAAATTATAGAAGGGGGATGATAATCGATCCAAGGCAAGCGAACCATGAGTTAGCTTCCCTTGCATATTAACCCATATCTTCCGACCAGCCCACCCTTCTTGGCGCTGAGGCAGCCAGGCTTTGGTCAGTATAGTGCAGCTCTAAATCCCAACATTTATCTACCATGAGCGTCCGAAAGGAGACTATTTTCCAGAATGGGTCTATGCGAAAATCACACTCCCAAGGCACCAATTCTGGGCAAGCCAGTCAGCATCTATCACCGAGAGACGCAAAGCGGCATACCACCATGTACTATCAGCATTGGGACCTCCGATCGATTGATTGCAAATAGCTGGAACGTGTCTGGCGATCTAATGAGCTCATCAGGCCTCCAGTATATCCTGGATAAATCACGACTGTACATACCTGTCATGTGAAAATTCCCGAAAATCCTTCTCCCAGAAATGATGTGCGCCTTCCCCTTTGTATGACATTGCAGTGAGCTTGACTTTGCTACCCACAAGCTGCACGGTGTATACAGTTCGTCGAGCTTTATGCCGAGCGATAATCCCCTCACTCGTACAGTCCCAGTCATATTTGCCAAGGTTTTCGGACTGTATCTCTTTTATCATAATGACATCGCCGAGAATCACTTCACGAAACTGTATACACATGTATTCAGCCTTGAGTGGGTCATTATTCTGCATCACTCACCTGATCGTACATAGTATGTCTCGCCACAGTGCCCTCGGTACTATGTCCAATGATAACATTGCCATGGATCGTTCCGTGGTTGTTGATCTGATGTCCGCCGACGTTATTGCTAATCGTACCAGCGACGAAATTTTGGCAGTCTTGAAGCATATCTTGAATTTTTGGGTCACGCCTAGAGGGAGTAGTGGTGGGGTAACAATAAATCGAAGTGGAATGGAGGAACAGGAATGGAATGAAATATATCCTATGAAACCCGCAGCAACAAACAACAATCAAGTCGAGACCAAGGCAGATCATTTGGGCAATCAATCGAGGTGTATCGGGACAGTGATACAAGCTTCGTGTGATATGTACGATTGACGGTCCCTCGGAGGGGCATGCGGCGATTGTGAGATGAGTGAAGCCACAACACGTTACAATCCAAGCAAAATATTTGAATGCATGCTCTACGATCTCTGCAGGAATGTATATTTTGGTAATTCTCATGTGTGATCCCCTTGTTACGTCTCGTAGAGACAAAATCAAAATCATTTCATGGCACTTTGATCTTCGACTGATCGTTCCAAGAGATAGAATATCGTTTTATTCCTACAACATTTCACAGCAATCGTGATTGGACAAATTCCACGAGAGTAATCACTGACAGGGATCACATCGGCGTTGACGTAGTGAGGTTATATCGGGCTAGAGAAGCAGCGCTACTGTATGGTCTCGTTTTCCATTGCACGCTGCTGTTATTCAATATGTGGATTCACATTAGCACACTAGCAGAGGAAAATGAAGCACTTTGTCTCGAAATCAACCAAAAATGCACACTAAAATGTATGATTGAGCGCATTAAAGGGGAATCAAATTCCCGGCGTGTTAAAACACCAGTGCGACACAATGATAGTAACGACACGGATTTCCAGTACCCCATTGATGTGGTAGCTGGGATGTGGTAGCTGGGATACTGATACAATGATACGCGACGTCACGTTGATTCATTACTCATCCTGCGCAGGCAACCCCTCATGTCATTCCCTGGACTATCGTTGCTCACTGTGACCCATCTCCGCAGCCGTTGGGGCGTCTCCGCCTGATTGCAATCTTGGTTCGATTGAGCTGGTGAGCAGTGATTCTTTATCCTCTTACCGACCACAACTGCCGCTGTCCTAATCGTTACTCCCACCCTGCATAGCAAGAGGGCTGGCAATTAGACCGCCCGTCGCCTCACCCATTCTCTTCCCCTCAAGCTCCTTACTCGTGGTGAATTTGCATATCCATTCCATAGTTGCGTGTGACAGCTTTGAGAATGTACATTTGGCTTTGACATGAAAGTTGAAATTGGGCCCAAAATCTAGACATGAATACTTTCCAATTGACCACTGCTACCGCATTGATGGGTTAGTGATAACCTGGGTCGTTGCCATACGTTGGTCCCGACGCAGATTGGGTCGACCCACCGAGGGTTCGATTCCCTCTCAACAGAACTGCTCTCCATTCAGACTAGAACGGGTTCACGGAGGCAGCGAAGGATGATGGGTGTGTTCTTGAGATCACTATCGTTCGCCAAGTGATATAGGCCTCAGATGACTAGGTCTCCGTAAGCCCAGTGATTGAGGGTTGAACAGCCATTGGAACGCATACTACAACTTGGCGTCGTGTGGCATTTTAGTGTCACCGTTGGCTACCCAACAATATCCTTGAATGTGTAGAGTTCTATACGTGTAGATTCGGAGGTACGATAGCACCGATGCTCTTCAAGTTGAAGTTGTAACAAGACAACTCTTATCGGAGCTAATGGGCCGTTCAAGGGCCGTTGATGTGATCGGTTTACTGAGGTGCGAAGGGGACGGGTCGTAGAATGGGAGGAAGGTAAGAGTGAAGGATCAAGCGAGCGAAGCACAATGGAGGGAGGCCACGTAGACCTGTGACGATGCATATGGGAAGATCTTCTAATGCTTGGCATTGTCGACCAAGTTATAGAAAGGCGGAGCCCGGGCCGGG